TGAAAAATTGCTTCATAATTTCTGAGTCCATGTTTGATCCAGATAGCCACATGTAGCTGGCAGATTTACCCAATTCTGATGACCAGTAACTTGAGGTGGGATTTTCTAATTTGTTGGAAGCAAAGGTTAGAAAAGGAACTGAGATTAGGCTATGGAATCAACTCTGGTTTAAGCAGAAAGAGATTTAATAAAAGATTTTAAGTGGCTTATAAAATTGTTGGCAAGACTGAAGAAACAAACTCTAGATCTGTAAAAAACCATGTTGCACCTGGGCCACCAAGAGAGTTATTGCCTCTTTTAGGATCAGAAAGGCTTTTTCAGAATTGCGAAACTGTAACTTTTAGATGCTGTCTTAGAACCTTGCCATCTCTGCCGTGATCAGGAGTCTGCTCCTATTAGGAAATAGCCATTAGTAAGCAGCCATCTTCATCAGTAAGCTGTTGTCATTATTTCTAGCCCTAGAGCCAAGCCCTGCCTACCACAGCGTGTACTGCAGAATGGATGCCTTGTGCCTTTCTTAATATTCTTGAAACCTGTGACTGAATACTAGCGCTTCTGCAAATACTGCTGTGGAACATGAACATCTCCATGACAGTGTTTGCTAGTAGAAGCAACCCAAATTCAACCTCCCTTCTCTTTTGTCCTTAAAATTTAGTGAGTGCATCTGATTGGTGGAACTTAAATCACATTTACAACTCTAGCTGCAAGAGAGGCTGGGAAACGTATTTTTTAACTTACTGTTCTCTGCAGTACAGGAAGACATACACTGAAGGAGGTTGAAATGGGTGTTGAACAGTAACCTACCATATTTACTGCAGGTTCAGAACCTGATCTCCATAAGGTTGGCTGTCATTAAATTAGCTATAGATAAGTTGAGAACGTTTGCAAATAATACCATCAAACAATGTTGAGAAACTCATTTGTTTCTTAGTATATTTTTGTTGTTTTATAATGACAACATTAAAAAAAAATGACAACATTAAAAAAAAAAAAGCACTAGAATTTGTCCTTCATCTCTATGGTGAATTAAGTGGTCTGTGGATACCAAAAGTTTCCTCATGTTTAAGATGTGGTTAGTGGCTAAAAAGCCTAAAATAGGGAGTATAAGAAAAACTGTCATAAAGCGTTACCTGAATTGAGGAAAGGTTAGTGTTGTCAAATAATGAAGAGGGGTCAAATAAGGTGGGACTGGAAAGCAGTGATATGACTTGGGCACTTAATATTAGTGTTCTTTTTTTTTTTTTTCTATTGAGACAGGGTCTTGCTCTTTTGCCTAGGCTGGAGTGCAGTGGCACAGTCTCAGCTTACTGCAACCTTTGCCCCGGGCTCAAGCAGTCCTCACACCTCAGCCTCCCAAGTAGCTGGGACCTCAGGCATGCACCACCACACCTGGCTAATTTTTTGTATTTTTAGTAGAGATGGGGTTTCACCATGTTACCAACGCTAGATTTGAACTCCTGAGCTCAAGCAGTTTGCCCACCTTGGGCAAACACTTTGCCCCCAAAATGTTGGGATTATAGGCATGAGCCACTGCACACAGCCTTATTAGTATTCTTCAAGGTTTAAAACAAAAAGTAGAAAAGTAGGATGAGAAGGCAAGTTGCAGGTTTAGGCTGTGAATTGAAGGGGACACTTGAAAGCAGAGATTATAGAATAAGTTTTCAAGAAACTTGGCAATAGATTTTTTTTTTTTTTTTTTTTTTTTTTGGTCCAAGGCACATGCTCAGTTATATACCAGAACTGGCTAGAGTTCATGAGCCCCTGAGGCCCTGAACAAACATCACACACCAGCAAGTACAATCTTCCAGACTTCTTCACTTTTGTCTTTTTGTGTAGCTTGTTATAAAGTGTGGCTCTTAACGTATTCTCTTTATGCTTAGAGATATAATATGTACAACATTATTCTTACTATATCTGTAACCATTACTTCATTTGTTATTATGTTGTTTATAAAGGGCCAATAAATTACTATTATAGTTTGGAGTTACCGTAGCTGTCTTAACGTATTTGTACAATTGATTGTTGAGCTGGGCATTGATTAGGTGAATTAACTTTCAACAAAGTTTATTTGAATTTCAGTCAGTGGTAGATATTTAAGAAATATGGATTATGATAACTGCTTTTATAGGCAATGATGCTCAGTACCTTTATTCATATTATATAGAACCTAAGTTTTCTTTGTTCTAAATAAATATCTGATAATGTCAGGTTCCTTGAATTCTTCTGATAAAATAACCTCATTGTTTTAAGAGGGAGAGGGAAGTAGAATATGTTTAAATTTATGTAATATTGTTTTCGCAAACTGCACTTACGTGAATGAAACAGAAACATGTTCAAGGGCAGTTATTTAGTGTTTCAAATTCTCCCATTAGATATAGAGCATATTTATTATGGAGCATATTTATTAAGTAGAGAAGTATTATGATCTAATTCCAAGTTTTTTATATTTGAGGTCCTATATGGTGACCTTTTGGTTAAAAAAAAAGTCTAAATTTATGCAGAAGGGAGATGTCAAAGAAAAAGGAGTGGCTGAAGGACAAGAATGTTGAAAGTAATGAAAATACAATTGCTAGACAGTGTCCTGGAGGGAGTAAGAGGGAATGAAGTAGAGAGAGCGCAGTTAAGTGGATGAGCTTTGGATGAGAAGAGGAACAACTAGTCTTTGAAGGAGAAGGAAAGTGGATGAATACAGGTTCAGATTTATTTTTCTTATTAGGGACCTGGTTTATTTGTAAGGACCAACCCGTTTTAGGCAATTTGGGGATCATTTAAAAGGTTAGATTCCTCAATTCTGACTTGAGAAGAACATAAATTTGTTTATTCTGTTTAATTGGTAACTTTATTTTTAAAAAAATCTTTCAGTGACAGATTTAATAAATATCTTACTGGTACTATTCCATTGGTTTTCTTATTTTAATTTTTATAAATTGTTTGTTTACTGAGTTTTTTATAGGTACTTCTTAGGTTTCTGATAGACTTCTCTAAAATATATTGGTTTAAATGGCCTTTAAAGTTGATAAGCAGAAAAATACTTGAGTTTATCTAGTCCAGACGTTCATCAGGAAAGCTGTGATTCAGTGATTTGTCTGAAGTCATATAGCCACTTAGGAGCAAAGTAAGACAGGAATATTGGTTCTATGGTTCTTGTGGTAATGCTCTTTCCCACATGCCAACTGATTGCATAAGGGAACTGGTGTACTGATTTCAGCACCCATAATTGTGTATGTCCTTTGAGCTCTGAGTGTCAAAGAACTTCAAAACTAGACTTTTTGGGTTATTTAATATTCCTTCAACAAGTATTTCTCAGCTGTCTATTCTATGACAGTCACTGCTTAAGATCTTGAAGACCAATAAGTTGTCAGGTCTCAAGAATGGGGGGACCAAAAAATAAACACTGAAGTAACAATGAGCAGAAGTTTAGATAATTATCAATGCTGTCAAAGAAACAAAATGGAGAAATAGAATATGGTAGCAGAACTATGTGCTTTAGGTATAATAGTCAAGGAAGATTTCTCTGAGTTAGTGATATTTAGGCTGAGCCTGAATGATAAGGCACTAGCCCTACCTGTCTCTAGGAACATAGCATTCCAGACAGAAGCCCTAAACTTAAACATGATGTACCTTGATGAATGAAAAAACGCTGCCCAGGGTTAGGGGAATGGAAGGAGAAGAGATCAGAGAGGCCATTGAGTAGGGCTGTTTAGACGGTGGTATGGAAAGATAATTTTATTCTAAGTGAAATGGTGTGATATTGAAGGAGAGGAGTGAGTGAGTAAAGAATATGTTTCAAGTATCACACTGCCTGATGGAGAATGGATTGTAGGAGGGTCAAAAGTGGAATCAGGGGTACCAGTTAGGCAACTCTCATGTTTGTCTAAATAAAAGATTATGGTGGTTTAGAATGGGTGATTCTAGTCAAGGCAAGAAGTGGTTGGATTTGAGATTTATTTTGGAGGTCTGCTGGATTTGCTGAAGGACTGGGTATGGGAGTTTGGGGGAAGTCGTGGGAGGATGGTGAGAGTAAGAGGAAAATGGTAGACTGGGGAAAGGGGATGTTTTAGGGAAGGAAATCCAATGTTTTTTCTGGGACTTGTTAAATTTGAAATGCCTACTGGGTATCCAAGGAGACAGTTGAATAGTCACATCTAGTGTTTGTTGAGAGGTTAGACCTGGAGTTGCAGATCTGGGAGGCGTCAATATTAACACGGTATCTGGCACAGTTGGCAAAGAGAGGGAAGAGAGGGTGGTCTAGAATTGAGGCATTGTATGTTTAGAGGTGAGGAGGCGGAGAAGTCAGCAGAGAGCCAGTGATATAGGAGAAAAGTCAGAAATACTGTGTTGTGGAAGCCAAAAGAAGAGAGCATTATGAAGAGGAATATTTCTGCCTACTTGGATATGATGAGAACAGAGAAGTGACCATTGGATTTGGCAATGTGGAAGGCATTAGTGTCCTCAGCTAGGGCAGTTTCAGTCTCATGGTGGGGTCAGAAACTGATTGGAGAAGGTTGAAGAATAAGTGGAAGGTAAGAAAGAAGAGACAATGACTAGAGGTGATGCTTTTAAGTTTTTTTTTCTTTTCGTGTGCTTTTTTTAAGTTGAGAAATTCCCATCATTATTTGTATGCTGATGGGAATTATTCACTAGAGAGGAAAATTAATGCTGATTCAGTAAAGAAAGATTAATTGTGGAGTAAAGTCCTTCAGGAAGTATTGGTAGGTGGGATAGAGAGCACAGATAGATGGATTGCCCTTTCATAAGAGTGGGGATGCAATTACCTAATTAAAAAAGGGAACTCACAAGTCACTTTACACACAGCCCCTCCCTTCAGTCTTATGAGTTTCCTTTAGACCAACTTGATCTTTCTCTAATCACTAGTTTTTGTTTTGTTATTTTTTTCTGTGCCACATTAATATGTTCTTTCAGACTGAAGTCATCCAATTAGGCTTGGTATGAAGCACTTGATGATATTTAATACCAATTTTCAAATTTTGTGCCAACAGGTGAAGCAAAAAATTTATTGCCCTATCTTGGACCCCACAAAATGAGAGATTGTTTCTGTACTATAAATTTGGACCAGGAAGAAGTTTATCGTACCCAAGTTGTGGAAAAATCTTTAAGGTTGGTAAATAAATTGGTAAATTATCATTTTTATATTTTTACTACATATATTGATTGATAAATATTATGCATTTTCCACATTATAATCATCAGGAAGACAAGATAGACACAGTGTCTGCTTTCTTGTGGCTTTTCACTGCTTCAAAATGTATCTTTCTCTTAATTGTTCCTAATTTTATCCCTTGGTTTTCTGGAGAAAAGTTTTTTTCACATGACGGGCTAAATATTGCCTATTTGTTTGAACTTTCCTCAAAGTACATCTTTATTTTATTTATCTAAAGAATAAGTTACTTAAAGTTCATACAAGTTGCTTAATTTAATAGTGCATTACCAGGGAATGCTCAGGTAAGTATCTCATCTTTAAAAGTGTAGTTGCCCTTTGAGAGTGTCATAGTAAATCCTAATTCATAAAATTGGAACATACCACCGCTGCACTGTACCAATGCGAAAACATAGTTCTGGTGCAAAGCTGTGCCAAGAATCTTGTTCAGAGACAAAAGTCAAAACACGGTATGGGGAATTATTGGAATGAGAATGTAGTGAAATATTGAGTGCCATACCTTATCTGAATCATATTTTAGATCAGTTGTATTTTAGGGATCTGTTTTTGATGCCTTCTTTTAAATATCTTTTTTTTTTATATTTATCTTTAAAGTTTTCCTTTATGTCTTTATTTTCATTTTTATAATTTTATATATCTATTGAGTTCTTCATAGAAAAGGTATTATATAGAACTGAAAATACTTTAGTAGCCCGAAAACATTTCAAGTGGTAAACTTGAAATCTTTAGTCATAATTCTCATGTCGTTCTTATTTGGCTTTAGAAGGTACTTTCAACATAATATTGGAATATAGATGTGATACATAAAGGAAATTCTGCATTTATAATTGTTTATAAAATAATGCAGAGGTAAATACCTGCACATGTCTTTCATGTCATATCTTTGACTAATAGTTCTTTTCGCGTTGATTTTTATGTTGAAATTAATTAGAAGGCACTAGTTACTTTGTGAGACCAACTTTTAAAAGTTTACTTTGATTACATTTGAAGGGAAAAATATAGTGACAAAAGTTCAGGCATTTTAACAACTAAAAAGCTGAAGTGTTTTCTAGACAAGATTAGATACGACTTCTGTAAGAGTGTTTTATTTTATATTTCAGCTTCTCATTTAGTTATGACATCTTAAAGATACTACATTTCATAGTGACATTTCTAGAGAATCTTTTTGTTCTTTAAACTTTCTCAGGAAAGAGGTACACCTGACAAAAGAAACTATCATTTGAGATATTCACGTCTTCATAGAAAAATTTAAATATATCAAATGGCGTTCTTAAAATGAACTTATAAAAATAAGCTTTGCAACATGAGGATAGGCAAAGATTTCTTACTTTGAATGCAAGAAGCACTACTAATCATAAAAGATGAAAATTGGTAAATTAGATTTTATCAAACTTAGAGGCTCCTTTTCTTTCAAAGACACTGTCAAGAAAATTAAATGGCAAGCCACACCTGGGGGAAAGTATTCTGACAGAAGACTTGTAGCCAGAATTTATTTAAAAACAAAAACCCTAGTAACTGGGTTATCTGTTAAGTATCCTCCCCCTATTTTAAATGGCCGCCTGTCTTCTTTTGAAGTTACCCTAGTAACTTCTTCGAAAGAAGACAGGCTACCATTTAAAATAGGAGGAGGATACTTAAACAGATATTTCAGAAAAGATTCATGAATGGCCAAGAGCACATGAAAAGGTATTCAGCATTGTTAGCCATCAGGGAGATGCAATTTAAAACCATTTCTGTAACTATAGATTCTAGAACATAATCAGCAGTGATAGAAATCATATCACTGGTTGCCTGTAAGATTATAATAGGTGTGATTGCAGAGTCACAAGGGAACTTTCTGGGGAGATAAAAATGTTTTATATCTTGATTAAGGTGGAGATTACATAGATGTGTAAATTTATCATGTTACAGTCACCGGAATAGCTAAAGTTAAAGACTGTCAGTACCAAGATGTGGAACAACAGGAGCATTACTGTCAGGAGTATAAAATAATACAACTACTTTGAAAAACAGTTGGACAGTTTCTTGTAAATTACACATTCACCTACCTTTTAACTCAGCAGTTGCACCCTCAGTAATCAAAAGCATGTGTCTAGAAAACGTTTTGTATAAGAATGTTCATAGCAGCATTACTTTTGATAGCCTAACTCAAATAACATCAATAGGAGAATGGATTTGGAATGCAATGAAGTAATATGCAGCAATTAAAACAGTTAAACTACTATATACACAAAGACATCGAAAAAGTCTCGCAGACATTAAGCTGAATGAACAAAGCTGACATGAGAGCACACTATATGATTCTATTTATGTAGATTTTAGGATCTTTAGTAATAGAAAGCACATCACTGGTTGGGGCAGGTATGGTGGGGTAACTGAAGAGGGGTGTTAAGAGAACTTTCTGGGGAGATAGAAATGTCCTATATTTTAATTGGGGTGGAAGCCACGCAGTGTATGCATTTATCAGAAGTCATCAACCTCTATACTTTAAATTGGACTTTTATTGTTTGTAACATACTTCAATAAAATTGATTTTCAAATAGCTTATTTTAATTTTAAAAAAATATTTTGAAGTAACCCTTCACATAACATTAGCTGTTTTAGGTATTATGTATAGTGAATAATACAGCTTTACACATTTCTAAGACAAGGAAGGTATGAATGACACTATCCTCAGCTCTCATTTAGGTCCACTGTAGGTGAGCATGACCCCAGGCAATTACTGTATCTTCTATCCACAGGACTCCTGAAAAGCTGTTTGTTCAGAACTCATCCTGGCAACTTAGATCCCCTCAGAGTTCAGCTTGCTTTGTCTAGAACTTAGTTGTAATTTAGCATTGAGAATTATTTTCAAGTTATTTTCAATGGCATTTTAGTCTATAATTTCATTAACTTTAGTGAAAGTGATATTGAGTATTGATGCTATTATTGAAAGTGATATTAATCAATTATTTAATTATATTATTTGAAGTAATGAGCTTTCCTTCCTTTCTAGTCCATTTTTCAGTGAAGAATTTTACTTTGAGATTCCAAGAACTTTCCAGTATTTGTCTTTTTATGTTTATGATAAGAATGTTTTACAAAGAGATCTTCGTATAGGTATGTACTCTTCATAATTATCTTTAATCACAACATTAATGTTTATATTCATTCTTTCTCTTAGTATAAAGTGTTGAAAACTGCAGAATAACATATGCTCAACATCTCTAATCTCTTTCTCTAGACTGCATGTTCATTTGTGAAATTTCATTTTTGATTTGTATGTTCAGCTTATATGACACTTTCTCAGGGAGGCCTTTGCATTTCCCCTAGTAAACATGTCATAATGTTTTTATACTAGATAATGGTTCCCTTTCCATGATACTCATTATGCTTGTTTGTTAGTTGGTTGTTTCATATCTGGGTTCTCTAGTTAAATGTGATATTTAAAAGGGCAGGGACTTTTTTTTTTTTTTTTTTTTCAAGACAGAATCTCTCTCTGTCACCAGGCTGGAGTGCAGTGGTGCAATCTCAGTTTACTGCAGCCTCCCCCTTCTGGGTTCAGGTGATTCTCCTGTCTCACCCTCCTGAGTAGATGGGATTACAGGTGCGTGCCACCATGCCCAGTTAATTTTTGTATTTTTAGTTGAGACGGGGTTTCACTGTGTTGGCCAGGCATATCTTAAACTCCTAACCTCAGGTGATCTACCCACCTCGGCCTCCCAAAGTGCTGGGATTACAGGCATGAGATACCACACCCCATCTGGCAGGGACTTTTTCTTACAGAGTACCTTACATTTAGTAAATGTTGGGTACTTGTTTAGTGGTTCAAATCTTGTTTTTATAAAAAGACTGCAGTATTGATCCTTCCAAAGAACATCTATTTTTGAGTTTTTTCTAATAGAAGTAATAATTCACTTTAATCTATTTATACATTATCTTTCTATCTGTATTAGTGATTGCATTAGTCCGTTCTCACACTGCTATAAAGACATACCTGACACTGGGTGATTTATAAAGAAAATAGGTTTAATTGGCTCACAGTTGTTCAGGCTGTACAGGCTTCTGCTTCTGGGAGGCAAAGGTGGTAGAAGGTAAAGAGGAAGCAAACACATCAGCACATGGTTGGCAGGAGAGAAGAGAGTGGGGAAGTGCTACATAATTTTACAATAACCAGATCTCATGAGAACTCACTGTCATGAGAACAACAAGGGGGATGTCCACCCACGTGATTCAGTCACCTTCCGCCAGGCCCCTCCACCAACAGTGAGATTATAGTTTGACATGAGATTTGAGTGGGGACAGAGTCAAACCATATCAGTGACCAATAAATATATTTTTTAAATAATTGTCAGATTGGAGTGTGATCTGTGGGCATGAACTAGAACAAAGCTAACTGGCCACGTATGTGTCACATTCCTGATCTTTGCACCACTATCTTTGTATTTTAATCACAGGCAGAGGTCTAATTTACATTCATTATCATCTCTCTTTTTGGAGTCCTAAATTTCATCATCTCCATTTCCTTTTTTATTTGAAACATGGTCAAGTCTCCTACAGCTTAAAAAATTAAGCGTTATTTGTCTTTGTCCTGTTAAATAACTCCTGATGTTTCTCTGCCTTTGATATTGAACTCTGTAACAAATGGTCTGTATCAGTCCTCTCCTTGCTACTTATTCCTTTTAAAGTCTCTGTAATCTGGCTTCTATGTTTTCTTTAATAAACCTTTTTCTGAAATTCGGCAACATCATTTTAATCAAATAACCTTTAAAACAATATATTTTTCTTAATTATAAAACTATTATATGTTCTTAATGTCTTGAAGTGATTCTGTGCAGAAGTAACTATAGTCAATAATTTGGTGTATTTGTATTTCTTCCATTCTTTATTTCATACATTTGTACTACTACATTGTATTATTCAGGTTTTTTTCTTTTTTCATTAATATCATAATGATCCTTTCATCACGTTATTAATATTTTTCAAAATATTTGTTATATAATATCCTTTGTAGAAAAGTGTTTTATTTTAACCACTTTCTTGTTGGTGAGCATTTACGTTTCCAAATTTTTGGCATACTTAATGGTGTTGCTATGAACAAATGTCCTTTGGCATAAATTTTTGCATGTCTCTTTTTCCCCCAGGATAAATTCTTAGAAGTAAAAATACTGGGTTAAGGGGTATGAAAGTTTTTATGATTTTGCTCTGCATATTTCTGTCCCCACCCGCCCCACACAGTATCATACTGATGTGGACTACAGAAATATTGTACTAATTTACATTTCCCCAAGGATGTCTTGGGCATAACCATTTTACCACCCCTTGGCCATTCTTGCATATTATCATTGAAAAAAAATTTTCCAATATGATAGGTGAAAAATAATACATTATTATTTTAATGTGAGTTTCTGATTGTGAAGGAATTTGAGGAATTTTTCATATGTTTATTGGTCTTTATAGTTTTCTTCTATGAATTAATTGTTCATTTCTTTGCCTATTTTTCTTTTGGTTTGAGTTCTAATTTTTGTTTATTCCTAAGCATTCTTATTTTTAGTTATGTTAACTTTTGTCAGCTATGTATATCAAATACTCTTTCACAAAAGGCATTTTCTTAGTTTTTATTCTTATCTGCCTCTGTGTCACATTTCACTCTCTTGATTGCTTATTCAGTTTGTTGAGAGTGAAAGAAAAGACATTTTCACGGTGATGTATTTTTTTTAGATATTTTTCTCCCTCCTAAGGCTTCTTATATATAGACTCTTCTGTTTCTAGCAAACTGTTAATTGTAGCTTACCCTTGAAGCTGCATCCTCAATTCAGTTAAACATTTACCAAACACCTCTCTGTGGCACACAAAGGATGGGACTTTTAAGATGAATAAGACTCAAGTTGCCCCCATGCTATCAGAGAGGCAGACTTTTAGTCTAATACTAGTATATTAGGGTCTGTGCTGGAGATTTGAGCAGAGTACTTGGAGAGAATAGTAGGGAGAACAGCTCATTTTATTTGGTAGGAGGTTAACAGAGACTACATAGGTAGGAAAAGGAAGAACAGTTAATTTTTTTTTTTTTGAGATGGCATCTTACTGTGTCACCAGGCTGGAATACAGTGGCACAATCTCAGCTCACTGCAACCTCCGCCTCCTGGGTTCAAGGGATTCTCTTGCCTCAGCCTCCCGGGTAGCTGGAATTACAGGCATACACCACCACACCCGGCTAATTCTTGTATTTTCAGTAGAGATGGGGTTTCACCATGTTGATCAGGCTGGTCTTGAACTCCTGACCTCATGATCCACCCGCCTTGGCCTCCCAAAGTACTGGGATTACAGGCATGACCTACTGGACCCAGCCGGGAAGAACAATTTCAAGGTGACAGGGATTGGCAGAAGCATAGGGGGGGAAAATGAATTATGTTTGTGATGTATCTGCTGGTAGAATGTGAAGCTGAGGATATAAATTGGGACCAAGCCGTGGTGAACCCTAGAAACCATTCTTAATTCCAAAAGCTAAAGAATTTGGACTTTATTCTGCAGACAGTGGTTTTGAACCTTTTGAGAATGTATGTAACTATATATAACTGGTGTGTGTGTGTTATATGCATTTGTATTGCTAGAAACGAGTCTGTATACTGTATAATATACTTATATATAGTTATGTATGCACATGTATTTATGTACATACAGTTACATATACACAGTTATATATACACACGCATATCATATGTTCTACTTTAAATATGTAATCTATATACATCAAGTTTGTAGTTTGGAAGTTACTGTTGTAGGCCATAAGAAATTGTTGATTTAGAATAGGGAGAGATTCGAGGCAGGAAATCCAACAAGTATGCTATTATCAAATGAAATAAGTTAGATAGAACAGTTGCAGTGGAAATACAGATGAGGGAATATATTTCAGGAGCTTCAGATAGAACTTAGTGACCAAGATGATAAAAGAGATGTGAAAGGAGAAGAGTTAAAAATGGTCTTGTTTGTATGGCTGTTATTAACTGAGATAAGGAACACAGCAAGAACATTCACTTTTGAATGAGAAGGGGAGAGGATGACTGGTTTTAAACAAGTTAAACTTGTATTACCTGAGTTACATCTTAGTGGACATTTTGGTTGACAATTGGAAATATAGATCTGAAGCTTAGAGAAAAGATCTAGAGATGTAGATTTGAGAGTTATTAGCATTAAGTGATAGGCGAAGCCTGCGATGGAATGAGTGAAATTACTTGGGAGTAGATAAGGAGGGTTTCAGAGGAGAGGCTTGAAGATAGATAAGGCATATCAGGAAGTAGAAAGAGAGATAGGAGAGATTAATATCACAGAAGATAAGGAAATCTTTTAATGTCAACAACTAGAGAAAGGTAGATTCAGATAAGGATTGATAGAGGCTATTGATAATTATTAATAACCTTTGAAAGAATGTGTAACTTTGACCATCATGATATCTTGAGAAAACTTTTAATTTTCATCGCCCCTTTACGTGTGTTATTATCTTAATGTAATATTTCTTGAAAAGGCCTTTAAGGGCTTTTAAATAGCAGCATAAAGTTGAGGTTTATGATTTCCAGAAGTTGCCTTTTTTTGTTTATTTTTAAAGTAAAAATCAATTTTAAGTAAAATAATTTCTAGTAAAAATCTATTCTTTAGGGAGTGGTGTCAGAAAGCTGTAACTTGGTATGAGAACTTTTTCTTAAATGTTTATTCTTTCTAAGGGATACAATTTTTACATTTAACAGAAAATTCTTTTTTCCTTTCACATATAGAATTGTTTTGAAAATAAAGACAGTACATACCCTTTAAGGTTGGAAGTAGTTGATGGTTTTACTAACAATTTTTAACATTTTTGTAATTTAATAACATTCTCCATTAACGTGTAAAGTTGTTTTTTCTTTTAATTTTGAGCTATTGGAAGTAGAATTTTCTTAATTTATAATTTGGAGTTCCTCAACTGTAGACTAAACAATGCCATAGCATTTTCTGGAAGTGAAACGAGCTAGAATTGAGAGAATCATCTTTTAAACTTAAGATTTGAGATTCTGTACAAATTGGGTATAGATAGATAGCTTTTCAGGATTTTTTATTTTTAATTATGTGAGTAATGTATTTTTGTTGTT